GAGTGAAAGAGAGAGAGAGAGCCACGTGCAGGGCCTGGTTCGAGAGCTTCGAAGCTTCTAGCTAAAAACAAAGTACAAGAGATGCTATCGCATCAGTGGCCTTTTCTAGGTCGGGTCGATGGGGGGTGACTGCCCGGGTGGCATCTAGTCAAGGTACGCCACTGTATCCCACAACTTGAAAACGGTGCAATGGTGCGCCTTTTAAACATCGAATTAACAAAACAGTTCAAGTGAAAAATACGAAGTATTGTCTCTTGATTAAAAATTGTAATGCCATTTTGATTAATCTGTACTTTGCCTTGATACTTGATAAAATTTCTGATTATTGTTGAGATCCATCAGGATTGTAAAATGCCTTATAATAACTTATAAGGTTGTATCCTTTCAAAGGATTGTAGGGAAAATCTGGCTCTCATCACATGAACACAAATAATGTTTAGTGTAAACTTGCATACCGGTATGTCTTTAATATATCTAGGTTCCATTGCGCATACAGACACGCATATGTGTAATTACATTGTACTTGTACATAATACATAATCAGGTACCAAATTTGGACGTATTCACTTAAGTCCAAGGGTCGCGCGAAATTGTGTACAAATGAGACATTTTTTGGTCATTATCCGTTGTGCAACATCTGCGTAATAATTCTTTTGAGAAAGAGGGCGATAATTAAGGCTTTGCAAAGGGCGTATTTTTTGCTTGGCGCCCCCGCCTCCCTTCCATGGTAACATTTTCGGAGAACATTAAATGTGGGGCTTTTATTTCGTGGAAGGTGGCGACAAAAATCTTTGCGCAAACAATAGCTACGCCACGGGCTTGCGTAAGCCATTGAACTCTAACCGTATCTGTGAAAGGTGAGCTACTGTGAAAACTATTGGTGTTTTCATTGTATGTGTTTTGTTTGTTTGTATGTTTTGATCATTGTTAGGTACCGGTATCCAGTTTCGTGAATGTGTTCTGTAAGAAGTGTGTATTTTTTATATTTTTTTTAGGGGTGGGGGGCGGCACTTCTACGCTGAACTGTGCAGTCGTATTATTTGATTTCATTGTTTGTATATGTCTTGATTATACTCGATATATGATATAATATGTGAACATACTGTGAAATTTAAAAAAAAAAATAATAAGTTTTTCCGAATTCGTCCTACACGTTAATTTTCTAAATTGTTTCCAGCTAGGGGTCGACCATTAATTACGTCAACAATTTTTACGCAATTTTTAACCCCCCTTTTTTCCCCATTTTTTCCCCCCCCCCCCCCCCCGTCCTTGTCAACAACTGTCAAACTTTCGATGACCCCCCTATTAAATTATGTCAACATTTTATAAACACCAGCCCCCCAAAAAAATGAATTATAATATAGATAAATTTATAAATACATTTTACTTTGTGCTGATCTATTTTAAATGACGCATAAAATTGTAGGCCAACATTTTATTACACGATTAGCTTGTTAATCAACAAGTTAAAATGTTTTTACACAAAAATTTTAAAATGCAGAATCAAGTAAAGGGTTGTTAAGGACTAAATAACACTATTTGTGGAGGTATAAATATGATTATTGTCAGTATAGCTGACAATTATAGTATAGATTCTAGCTGCTACTATTTTCCCATGGTGTAGCCAGGTGTTGCTATATCGTAACAATGGGCATCAGGGACATCATTTGGGTAGGGCAGGGGGCATTTGCCCCCCCCCCCCGTGATTTTGCTGGTTTTATTTAAATTGCTATGTACTGTGGCACCTCCAGTTATCAACAATTTAATAGGCCTAACAAGTTTTGGTTTTGCCTCTCCCTTCCCCTGAAAAAAAACCTGAAATGACGCCCCTGATGGGCATAGTCTATAGTAGCTTATTTATTATTTCCATCTTGCGAAATTGATATACCAGACAAGTCAACATCATCCTTATCTAACCTTTCAGCACTTAAAATAGAAGTGTTGTCGGTGTGAACAATAATTGCCATAAGCTCTCTCTGTCTTTGAGTTGCTATAGTTGTTATTTAACACCGATGAGTTGGGTTGTTGTTTTTTTAATTTAACACTGTGCACAATATATTATAATCTGTTATCATTCTAGGTAGCGGATTAAGAGAAAAATGACATGTGAAGAGATGCCAACTTTTGACTTCTCTTGCACTAACAAAGTGTGCATACATTCTGACCAACCATCTGCAGTGCACAGACAGACAAACCTTAGAAAACTCTTAGATAGTTAAAAGCCTAAACATATATGACTATTTACACTCATTAAATTGTTTAAAATAATGTAAGAACCAGTCAATTTTTAAGATTAAAATTTTAATAGAGAAAACAAGATTGTTGACGTCAACTAATCTAAACCCCCCTCCCTCCCCTTTCCTCCCCCTTGTCAACAACTGTCAAACATTTCCAACCCCCCTCCCCCCTATTTTGTTAACGCAATTAATGGACGCCCCCTTAAATGATACAATTCTTGTACTGGTAGAATAATAAAAACGCATTTCTTGATGGCAGTGTGTGTGTGTGTCTGCGCGTCATCTGTTTAGCGTGCAAAGGGCACATATCTTGAGGACTGGGTGTGAGGAGGTCGATATCTCCCAGAATACCTGTGCACGTGAACGTCCCCACTTTAGTAAGTCTTTGAAGTTGAAGACATAGCTCGATAGAACTAATAGAGCTTACCTCTTCAAGTTTAGCATTCGTTTTGTTTCTTTTATTTTACTTCATTATTTTTTTTTTTTCGTTAATTCGCGAGGTAAGAAACTGGGGAATGAATCGCGTTCCAAAAACTTAAATCAGTTAAGTCCTTAATCCGACCCAGGTGCTAAATTTTGGCAGATATGAAATGTACGCAATATGTCTTTGTGTTATTATTTATCGCGGATAACGTCTACGTAAAAATGTGAGCTTATGGATTTTTTGGGGGGAAACGGTAAAACCATTAAGATGGGCGGGGCTGTTCGGTATAGAGCTACAGGGAGTATCCCTGGTTAAGTAAGTAGAAGGATGAAGTTTTTCAAGTAATCCCGACCACACTGTGTGGAGTTACAGTAAACATTGGACAGCCATGGAGGGTTTGGTTAGCTTACCAAGTCATGATGCCACTTTTAAGGAATAACAAAACTTAAATGTCATTCTACATCTGGTCCAGAAGAAAGGGAAATACGAGGGCAGCTAAGACAAAGGCAGTAAGATGAGGCAGTAAGATGATGGTAGTAAGATGAAGGCAGTAAGACGAAGGCAGTAAGATGAATCTAGTTAGGAACAGTTTGCAATGAAATAGTTACTTCTTATCTTACAAATTTGTTCTCCTGCATAAATACAAGACTCCAATGACTTTAGATCAAGTATTCTTAATTTTTGTTTGTTCCATGGGCCCCTTTACCATGCACTCAAATAAAGGCCACGGACATCTTCTTAGAATTTTTTTTGAGTTCACAATAAAATATTCTTTTGGGCAAGCAATTGTTTGACATTCTCGCAACATGGCCCATTCAGCGGAGCTGAGACTGCATAAAACAGGTGTGTATGCTTCTCATTTCTACATCACTCTTCTAATTCCCACATCACTCTTCTAATTCCTACATCACTCTTCTAATTCCTACATCACTCTTCTAATTCCTACATCACTCTTCTAATTCCTACCTCACTCTTCTAACTCCTACATCACTCTTCTAACTCCTACATCACTCTTCTCTCCTACATCACTCTTCTAACTCCTACATCACTCTTCTAATTCCTACATCACTCTTCTAATTCCTACATCACTCTTCTAATTCCTACATCACTCCTCTAATTCCTACATCACTCTTCTAATTCCTACATCACTCCTCTAATTCCTACATCACTCTTCTAATTTCTACATCACTCTTCTAATTCCTACATCACTCTTACCTTTCGGTTATTTAATTGTAGTAGGAATTAATTATAAACATTTAGCATAGTATAGCGAGTGAAAATTTCATAATTAAAATATTGCTGTCACTGAGCCCATCTCCAAATATTAGAAATACAACAGAAAATGGGAACAGATTACAATGTAACGTCGGATGAGATCAAGTATGCAGAGCAGATAGCTGTATGTAATGGATGGGATGCCATAATGAGAACCGGCCTCAGTAGCCTAATCATACTAATGATTACTGTAGAATGTACGTTACCAGTCACATAAGGATGACTAAAGCCTTTCTTCCTGTATAAAATATGTTATATTAAAAGGGTGCTGGGTGGCTGAGCGGTCTGAACTGGGTCAATCAGGAGCTTGTGTACTGGAGTCCAATCCCCAGCAAAAGCATAGACAATCAAAATCAACACCAGCGCCCCCGGCGGGATGGGACTCGTTAACCTTGGATGGCAACACATCTAAGCAAAGGCAAAGTGTGAAATAAATACCCCTAATTGAGTACTATATGTGGTATGACAATGACAATTGAATTCCGTCAACTCATGCATCATGTAACGCATAAAGAGCACAGCATAACAAATAAAAAAAAGCACAGCTGGTCATCTATTGCATCCTGGTCTATTTCCAGTGGTCTTAACCAAGTCTCGCTATTGGGTCAAATAGACTGACGAATTGAGCAACTTGGTCACTTAAAATTAAAATAAATTACAGCTCAAAGTCAAGGCTACCACTCAAGCTTTGGTCATCTTGGCTTACAAAGTGCGAATGACAAACAATGACATTTCAATAGAAGACACTTAATAATGACATGTGTTGCAGACCTTGGACTTCCATTATTTACCTTGTTACTTTAGGTGACTTCCTTGCTTACTTTTATTAAAACTTACCCTGTCTAACAAGATTCTAAAGAAGGAAAATTTTGATGCGTTTTCAGGACAATTTTGATAACTTTATAACTTGGAGACCCCCCTCGCCCACACACACACCACAAATGCCTTTTACCCTTGTTATAAACACATCTGGATTCTCATTTATTGTCTGTGGAGTGCAATCTGCTAAAAACTTTTGGGGATTTCCTGTACGAATTAAAGTACTAAAAAAACCTAAAACAATCATAACAAATACTTTTTCAATCAAAACAAATAACCAATTCTTGAATGAAATATTAAAAAATCCACATTTAATATGCAGCCTCATGGACTGAGCTACAGCAGCAATCAAGTTTTAAAAAAAAGTTTTTCTAATGTTGAAATCACTTTTTAAAGAATTTACTGTAATCATTAAAATCAAACTTGTCGTCAAATTCTTCAATAACTTCCAATTTCTGCTTAGGCTTCCTCTTAGCTAAAATAACTTTCTTCTCAGCATCTGTTAGCTTAGAGAAGTCCAAAGGCATCTGAAAATATAAACAATGAAAGATATTTTTTTTTTAATAAGCATGTGTGAAGATACATAATTAGTAATCAAGGCAAAGACCAGAATAAATAATGCACTGTAACAGAGCAGCAATTATAAAATTGTGACTAATCTCTTAATGACTTTCCTTCTTTTCTAAAAGCCTACAAGTTAGCTTTTATACTGGTTTTCAGTCCTTTGTTAAGTAATTTTCAACAAACCAGCCAAATTTTAAAACATATTAAATTTACAACATCCATATTATGGTATGTAAAAAATTCCTTTTATTATCATTTGATTTTTTTACCAATTTTTGTGCATAAAAATCTATATTGTTACCCTGTTCTGGGCATATGTCTTGTCCCCTCTGCCAACATATAAGGCATATAAGGGTTTTACAAGACTTGCGTTCTGGATGAAAATGTTTAATTACCTTAATGAGTCTTCTAGGCTCTTTGTAGCGTATATTTATGGTGCTGCCATCTGGAAACACAAGAAGTGTTGGATATGTTCTTTGGAAACACGCCCTTTTTGCACGAGTGATTGAGGCTGTATTCGAATTATTCCTTATACATGATAACATGGATGTCAGGTCAAATAGGCTGATTTGATGTGGATTTTTCTTGATAACATTCAAGAGCCTGAAAGAAAAGACAATAAATAATAAAGCTGTTTCTAGCAGCATATTATTTGGGAATGGATAATTTCTGTTTCAGACCATGTTTGTTATGATCATGTACAGTGACACAGCAAATTACAAAGTCAATTACTTTTTTGTGTCCATTGAAATGAATTCAATAACTTCAGAATGAAACTGAAACAAACAAAAAATTTACCAAGTAGCCTAAGCCATTTTTTTTACTGGCCTCATTTATTTATAAGTATTTAAAATATGGTTTTTGGCAGTTACTTTTTAATATTGCTGCTGGTCCAGTAACACATTTTTAATTACGTTATAAAACTTCGCTGGTTAGATCATGTACAAAGAATGGAGGAAGGACGTATCCCAAAGATTCTGCTGTATGGAAAGTTGGCAGAGGGGACAAGACATATTGGACGACCGCGCCTGAGATTTATTGATGTTTGCAAACGAAGCATGAGGGAAGCCAATATTGAAACAAACGAATGGGAGTTCATTGCCGAACATCGCTCCAACTGGCGTACAGCAGTGTTTGGAGGAGTGAAAAAGACAGAAGTTACTCGAAACGAGGGCCTCGAATCAAAAAGAACAATTCGAAAATCAAGAATTTACCGGGTTTCAACATTCTCCTGCGAGAGATGGGGCCGTGATTGCCTTTCAACGATTGGCCTAGTGAGCCACTGGTCAAAGTGTAAAACTATATAGCTACTCCATCGCCTAACATAGATGGAAGGATGCAAATTTATAAAAAAAATCCATATATGCAAACCTGCGGGATCAAATAATGCACCCAAAAAAAATTCTCAAAAACTTGTACAGTAGTGTACAGAAACACAAAAACCTGAACTGATCACACACAAAAATAAAAAGTCGAAATCATCATTTGAATTTGCATTACTTTTTTTTCAATTAATTATCACTGTTTTGAATAACATGCAATCAATGTCTTTTCTATTATTTCGAATCATTTTTTGGATTTCTTTAAGTCCACAACAACAAGTTTTTAGTTAAGGTTCTACTGTCCTATTGTCTTGGCACTTCAGCAAAGCAAGGGAGACTACTATTAAATTTGTATCAGAACTGGGTGTCAGGGCAAGAAAATAATGTCAGTTTTCAATTTTTGAAGGATAGTGATAAATTATTCATAAAATTACAATTTTTTCTTAAATGTGTACTCTGACTCAGCCTTATCACTTCAGAGAACAAATTGACCTAGTTTACTATCATTTTTTTTCTGTTTCACAATCAACTCAACTTTTGGAAAATCCTTGGTCAAAAGTAGACATCTTTCACCACATAGATTAACTCAATATTTAAGACAAGGCCATTTCATCTTTTACATTCAGCATATATTGATGTGCTCTGGTGAAAATTTAATAGCGTTAGGCCTACTCCTATAGTTTCTATCCTCATCAACGCAAGGTTATCAACATGACAAGCTCAGCCTTACTTCTGTGTGTGTACACAACACCCCTTTCATAATGGCAACACCCCTTTCATAGTCAGGTCCGGTTTAGCAATAAATAGAATGCGTGTTTATTTAATTTGAGTTTAGGGCATAACAGTTAAAATATTTGGATGTCAAGTCATTCTTTGCAGACTTAGTTTTAATGAAAGAAAAATATTGGTAGTCTTCACCTCACTTTAACTTCAAGTAGGGCACTGTGCACCTTTGAGAAATGCTAAAAATTTATTCATCAACTACAAGATCCTGTCACAAATGTTTTTCAAATACTTTTATTCGAAGTCGAGTTTAAAAGCACTAAAAGTTGAAAATAATTTTCTTAAAATTTACTACAGAAAGAAAGCATGTGCAGAGGTAGTAAGCCACTCTATGAAGCAATAGATTCCATTTAAATGTAGAAAAAGCTGATTTTTTTTTTTTTAAAATGTTGAAAATATGTTTTGCACAGTCTTTTTACTTTTCAGTGCTATTTAAACTCGTTTTCAAAAGAAAGTTTTTTTAAAATGTTTTTATTTTCTACTTTTTAGGGTGAAAAATCTAATATATAAATTATCCTCAAAGGAAGAATTTTTAAAAACTATGAATGCTTAGCATATCTCAAATATAGTGACTTTTACTTTTACCCACGCATAAAACTAAAAATAGAAGAATTTAACAACTGCTTGCCGTCCATTGATCAGTCTCATTGCTGATAAGTCTCGGCTTCTATACCTTACCCTATCCCATTCTGTTGGTACCGATGGTTATAATGAGCGCATGAGGTAAGCTTGTTTTTTAAATCACATTTCTTATTTCCCCATGCCATAACTGCATAACTCACCCCCACTCCCTCGACCCAGCATACCAGAGTTGTAGCTCTGTGTCATCAACTCAGTCAAATGCTACCTTACAGTTACAGGTCAACATGAAGCAGACTGAATCCACAGAACAAAGGGTCACTTGTTACAACATAAAATTATGCTAAGAACCCAATGCATATGAGGGTGGAAAGAAAGAGTTTAAAAAGGCCAAACAAGCTCAAACCTTAAAACATCATAGCTCAAATGGCAACTCTTAAATCAAACCCAGTGATGGAGTCGCATATGCAGTATGACTATGAAATTAGCACAATGAAAATTCTGACAACTCCTTGGACATGTATTATTACTAATAATTTATTAGTATTAGTATTAGGATAAGTTTTAAATAAACACTGCTGCTGGTCATCTCCTGTCTGCTGCAAACTTGTCTAGTCTTCTCTATTTCCAGCCATTGGAAATAAGCAAGGAGGAGAGAGAGAGTGAGGCTGATGAATTTAGCAACTCACCTTCACTTTAAACAAAATACTTATCCAGTCAAGCCTACTACTACTACTCAAAGTCGAATATAGAAAATATTGCCTGCCTTGGTCATTTTGGCATGCGACAGCGAAGGAATAAATATAACAAAACAACAAATTATTGATATTAATAATATTAATATAGTAAATTGGCGTGAATCATTGACATGTAATTGAATTTAGCTTTTTTTTAAAGCATCGAGAATGGTCACTCAAAGACTACATTCCTATAACTTTGTATAAGTTGATTAAAACACTATAAAAATCAAATTAAGGTCTCTATTGCGATAATTTCATATAGATTTGACCTATAATTTAATGTAAACAATGCCCGACCTAACAGTGCTCAAGGAGGCAGCCATCTTCTTCCAACACTTATTTGATAGTTGTGTCCCTTGTCATATAATATCACATGATAAACTTATCATGTGACATTTAAAAAAAGCCTTACTGATGAAGTTAACTTGGCCTATCTATTGCGAACAAATAATATTATCTAGTAATTTCACAGCGGATTCAAATTGAAATATTCGTGGAAATGGAAGCAGCCTTTGCATAGTCACATAGCAACGAATAGATAAGAAAATTAAAGGCTGACTCATTATTAAAAAAAATAAAAAACTGAAATGATTATTTATAATTGATCAGGACTCAGGATTCGGTTCATTTGTCATTCCTAGTCATTATTATTATTATTTTAGTAAGTCAATTTTTCTATAATTTCCATCGCCATCATTACTATTACTATTACGGTACTATTACTAGTATTACTTTTGTTAATAACTTAATTAGGGCACTGGGCATTTATAATTTAGGGCCAAGTATCATTGACTTTAGACTACGACTAATGAAAATCAATTTTAAAATCACTTATTTGTCAGAATCAACAAAAAAGACATCGTCATCAACAACAATGAACATGCTACCAAGTTTTTCACAATCTTCAGTCTTGTTATTATTGGGATTAATAACAGTGCTGAATGAACTGAATCCTTTGTTTGTGTGTGCTGAAGGTAAATTAGTCACCATTCAAATAATCATATTTTATAATGAAATGTATCATATATTATTAAAAAATTTCATATTTATGCTCATTCGCACCTTCAAACTAATCATGGCAGTCATGGACTCCTCTAACTCTAGCCTCTGGGACAAAATGCTGAAGTCAACAGGCCTAAATCTAAAAAAAAATAAAATTTCTCATCACATTTTAGACATTTTCATTTGTTGATTTAGATTGGAGACCATTTTTAAAATAGTTTTTCAGATCCAATTTTTAAAACTTTTCATTTTTGGATGATTCGTACTCATTGTAATAACTTCATTCTTCATCATTTTTTTTCAAATTTACTATACTGTTAAACTTCTCTATTCCCAGGCACTAATGAAAATGTTACTGTTGAATTTTCAACTGACAGCATTGATATTGAAATAGGAGAAACAGTAAATGTTGATTTGTCGTTAAGGTAAATATTCATTTATTAATTTAGTTATCGATCATAGAAAATTGCTTAAGTAGTCTAATTAGTAGTGTGATAACAAATAAAGGTGTTTTTTTCATTTATTAGTTTGATGAAATGAAAATTTGCATCATTAAAATGAAATAGAATTGATGATATAGATTTATGAAAATTATTATTTTGTTCAGCATTTTATATTAATAGTACAAATTTAATTTAACTAAATTATATTTTGTCAACTTAAATAACATTTAGACCTGTGAATAAACATTCAATTATTGTCTGTGTTCATTTTTAACCATGCTATTTTGGGAGAGTCCAGTAATCCACATTTTTAGCCATTTTTCTATTTTATTGCAGCCAGAAGCTGTCTAATAGTACATTGTTCATTTTCACATATGAGGATAAGTATATTGACAGCCATGAGTACATAAAGCGTGTTCCCAACATCAGTGTGCCAGCTGATGACAATACAACTCTATGGCACATCAACGTCACAGGAAACAATGCTGGACACATCATTCTAGGAGTGAACTCCACAGAAATTGAAATAAAAAAGTATGTTTTTATTTATACTGACCACAATGTTTCTTATATGATTAATATTTAGTGTTCTTATTGCATACATACAAATGTAATGTAATTGTTTGTCAATTAATTAAAAGAGGTTCACTACAAGAATGGAATTCATTCAGTCACTATGCCAGAAATGGTGATTTTAAGGCTACCTCCAAGGAATGTCACTACTTTTTTTGGCTGTTTCTGTGGGAGCTGTCTGCAGGGTCAGGCTCTCTAATGTGAATCCATGCCATTTGATCTGCACAAGGATCTTTGGATCTTCCTGTTTTGTTTTCTCAGGGTTGTCCATTGAAGTTCTGTCCTTCAAATTTAGCTTAGTGGTATTTTACAAACATGACCAAGTCATCTTTAGCAATACGCTTACATGGTTTCTGAATTAGTTTTCAGAAGAAAAGCATAAAACGTTATTATTTTTAAAATGTTAATTTTTTTGTTCTTTTTTTTTTTGTAAAAAAAAAATAATTATTGGGGGGGAAGCCTGTTATGCCCAAGCATTCAATTAATGTATTTAGGTTTGTTTATTATGTGGCAATTTGCTCCTTTGTTTTTAATAATATTATTGACCTAATAACAAATCAAATTTTATTTATTTACCTGGAAAAAAAAATATTTTGTTTCATTTGTCACTTCCACATTTTAAAAAATTGTTCAACATAAATTTGTTCCCAGCATTGAAAAAGCTTTTGTTCGAATTGAGGTTGTTCATAACTCTGCACTGGTTATTGTTAATGCAGTGATCGGGTGGATTTACTTTGTTGCATGGTCTGTGTCCTTTTATCCACAAGTCTACATCAATTGGAAACGAAAGAGGTTAGTGAAAGGTTTTTGTTTTATTTAGCTGTCAAAGTTTTAAATTGATCGTTAAAGAAAAGTAAATTGCCATGACTGGTTCTATAAATTCACTTCTGAGAATGCACTTTTCCACTTGGGGCATGGGGGTTTCTGATTTAGTAGTATTTTTCTTTATTTATTTGATATTTTATATATGTCTCAGCTTAAGAGATCCTCACATGACAGGTATTCTTTGCCATGCCTAAAATATTTACATAATTTATATTTTCTATCATAATGGCTTTGATTTTAAGAGCTGTTGAAAAATTACGATTATTTTAAATAATTCAAAGATAACACTTTTCATCAAGTGACGTCACATGATAAGTTCTTTCTAATTAAAAAAAACAAATATTACAATCTTTAGAAAGATAACAAAATTAGTTTTGGTGAAAATTGATAGACAGTAAGATGTTATATATCAGATCTTAGGTTGCAGAAAAAAAAAAAAAAAAAAAAAAAAAATATTTGTTTTTTCCCCCCCCCCCCCCCCCCCAATGCGTTAGCTGACTTAAATATAACTGTTAAAATGTTTTTCTTTTTTCTTTCAGTGTGATTGGCCTCAACTTTGACTTCCTCTGCTATAACATTACTGGCTTTTTGGCTTATGGATTTTTTAATGTTGGCATGTTTTGGGTTCAGACTGTCAAGGTAGGACTTTGATATAATCTCATAAACAAAATTGCATGGAAACAAGGGTTCTTTAAAAATAATTTGGGGGTACAATGATCAGAATTAATCAAAATATTAGTTTTTATGTCGAATGAAGTTTTAATATTGAAAGGTGCAACAACCAGCTGATAGCTAATTTGAAAAAAAAAAAAAAAATTCCTGGATAAAACTTATTTTAATTTGACTATGTAAATTCATCCATCCAGCCCTTCCGGGCACTACAACCCATGTAGGGCTTTAGCCTGCCTCACCACACCCTTGCACTCAGACCTAACTGATGCTTTTCTTTTCCATGCTTGGATGCCCAGCTGCTGTAAATCCGTCTCCACATCATCCATTTATCTAAGCCTAGGTCTGGCTTTGAGCCGTTTTCCTCTGGTTCATCCTGTGTTGGTCCGTATATTTTCCGGAGAACTTTTCTTTCCATTTGTTTTATAGGTTTTCTGCCGTTTTTCTCAGGGTGACAAGTTCACTTGGTTATGTTACAACTGGTCTGATTACACTTTATATATAATTTTCTTTGTATTTTCTGACTACTAAAGTAGTTCAAGTTTCGAGCCAATAGTCTTTCTTTTATTTCTGTTAGTAATTCATTTCTTTAATTTAATAAAGATCCTAGGTATTTCAATTAATTTACTTTTTCAAAAGTGTGGTTTCTAATTTTAATGGCTTCATTTGTCTCTTCTTCTCTTATCTTAGTAATGTATTTTATTTTTTGGTTAAATTCCAGTTAATACAGGGATTTCTTGCCAGCTATTTATGAAAACACAAAGCATTAGTATGACAAAAACCGCGAAACATTGTGGTGATATTTCTATAGCCTTAATATCTGATATTTAGGTGACAATTTGCTTTATTAGAGCCACAATAATAATTCAAGGGTCTATTTTGCATGAACTTTGCCCCCCCCCCCCCCCCTTTTCCCAAATTTTCTCTTATCATACTACTTAAAAAAACATTTTTAAGAAATTTAAATTTCTTTAAAATTTAAATAGTAAAAGCCAAAGTATTCATTAAATGTTTTTTTATTAATATTCACGATGATCTCATTTTTAAAAAAAAAAAAATAAATATTGATACTTTCCCCCATCATTTTTTTGATGTATGTAGAATGTATGCGTGGACAAATTTCAAAATACCTAAATATTTCAGTTTCGGCTCAAACCCAAAAGTTAAATTTCAGTTTAATTTCGGCTTTGAACGAAACTTTCGGTTTAATTTCGGTTTCAGGCGAAAGTCATTTTTAAATTTCTGCCTAGTTTTGGTTTTGGCCAAAATCAGAAAATCACTTTTGGTCGGTCTCTACCCTGAACCTTGATTTGTTTTTTGAGCTGTTAAATGTTATATGTATCAGACTTGTCAGTTTGTAGGGTGAGCCAAACTCATGCAGAGTCTCATATAGATATTTTCTTTTGATGCTGTCTTGGGCCATTTTATAGTCGACCTAGAGTTGATACACTGGGATATTACATTTGTAACATCTCTCTAATAGGCATCTGATGAGTCGTTTTGTCTGAATCCCCGTTGATCATCATAGTCTTTTGGCAGTTAGGTTTGTCAGTATTTTGTATGTAACATTTAACAAGGCAATTCCTCTGTAGTTTGTACATTGAAGTTTGGTACCTTTCTTGTGCATTGGGGTTAGTTCTGTTTCCCATTCTGTTGAAAGTTTCTCTTCTTGACTAATTTTAGTTATACGTTTATGTGTCTGAGTGCGTAGTACTCTTCCTCCATATTTAATTAGTGCTGGTGTGATGAGGTCTTCTCCAGGGGCTTTGTGGTTTTTCATTGAATTGATTGCTCCTGTAGTTTCTTACAAAGCTGAGTACTTTATTAAATGGTCTGGTCCTTCATGTGGGAGTTGATCATTTTCATCCTGTCCATATTCTGCATTTAATATTCCCTCATGATATTCAGCCCACCTGTCCAGTTCTTAATTATTTTCTGTAACTAACTCTCCATCATAGCTTTCACACATTTGAGTTCTGGCTTGGGATACATTCTTTTTGTCTGTTATCTCCATATATCTTCCTCTATTATTTCCCTCACTTGATAAGTTTTCTATTTCTTTTAGTTTAGCTTTTACCCATTCTCTTTTTTCCTTCCTATACATTTTTGTGGCTTAAACTTTCTTCTTGCTTCATTGTATATTTATATTTAATATGTAAGAAGGTATTATAAATGAATTTTTCTAACTAAAATTTTTTAAAATTTAACTATTCCTCTAAATAGACTATAAACCAGGGGTCTCAAACTCACGGCCCGTGGGCCATTGTGGCCCGCACTACGACATTTTGCGGCTCGCTACCTGACAGCAAAGTTTAGATTTAATGCGGCCCACGAGTTTTCCCCATTCTCATATCCCAAGGCTGGGGTATATAAAACCACTTAAAATAATAATAATAATATCTATAATGTGACACTCGGCGACGGTTTCAGTCGAATCTCACCAAATGGTTTAATTCTTATTTTTATTGTTTGTATAGATTTGGACATTGATTATAATGATAAAAACAGTTTTAAAATCGGACTAAAAGTTTTTATTTTATAGAATGTTATGAGACGAACATGGCTAAAGTGTGGTTTTGAGAAAAGATTAAAAAGTCACTAAGTGGGTAATGCACAACCATAATTGTGTTAAATCATAGCAATATGACGCAGCATCAAAGAATTCCTATACAAATTGCCGCTAATTTTTACGAGTGAGGGAAATTTCGAGCCAGTCAGCTTGCTCACTTTCAAAATAGGGTTAGTCATAAAGGTCTTTTCTATGATAAAAAACCCATTAAAATTCATCCTCCTTTGAAGAACATCTTCCTTTGCATCAATAATACATCAATATTGCCTGCACCTGCCTTCTGTTTGAACACGTTTTAGCTGTGTTTGAACACGTTTTAGCCGTAAGAATCTTCATGGTGTAGGATGGGGTGGCTGTTCCTGTACTAAGTGATCCCAAATGGCTCGTGGACTTGGCTTTTCTTTATGACATTACAAAGGAGCTGAATGTACTCAGCAAGAAGTTACATGACCAAACGCAGCTTGTCAGTATTGCCTATGACAATGTCAGGGCATTCTGCACAAAACTCAGAAAACCATTTACCAACATGCAAAGTACTCGTGGTCTCGGGCTCAGTAGTAAGTATACTGATGCCATTGCAAAGCTGCAGGAAGAATCACTGGTTTGAAGACTTAAAAAAACACAGAGCCAATTTTCATATTTGTTCTGACCCTTTCTCCTTCAGTGTGAAAGATGCAACGATCCCCCCCTCCCCCCAAACTTTTTTTTGTTTTTGCGCTTTATATGGAGATGATTGGACTTAAGTGAGGTGAATAGAAAAACGGACAAGCATGAACATTTGTGAGAGGATTTCCCTCCAACTTCCCTTAGATTTCCAGGTTCATTGTCCTTTTTGGGAGTACCCATCTGTTATTTTCCACTATGAACTTAAACAAGTCAAAGTTCAAGGCCAAACTAACTTATGAACATCTTCACCTATACTGAAGGTCTCAGTTGCTTCCTCACTCAAGCCAAATGTTGCTCAGCTGTGTAAAAAGAAGCGCTGCCATGTCTCTGGCAACAAGGAGTTGGAGGAAGAAAGTGAAGTCTAGTTCTCGACAACCCTTAATGTTTTTATTTGTTATTAATAAAGTTTGAGCACATTGTAATGGTTGTACTCAATTTATAATCGCTTTTTTTCTTGAATACTTGATGCGGCCCAGTCTCACTCAGACATTACCTCCTGTGGGCCCCGGATAATTTCTGTTTGAGACCCCTGCTCTAAACAGAGCTTTTTGGCTTCATCAGAACAAAGCCACAAAAATTATTGCTGCATCTAAAATTTTAAGAAAGTTAATGTAACACAATATTTCAAATAATCATATTTATTTCACTGTATTACAAATAATAGATGTATGAAACCTGCTATATTTTACCAAATTTTCTCTTCTTTTTCAACATCGTAATCTTTTAATAGCATGTAATTCTGTCAAACCTTCATTTGTATGATAAAATCAGGTTCAGATCATGGCTAATTTTTGAGCTGCAGTTATCCTCAAAAGAATTCTGAAAGATTACTTGTAGAATTCTAAAGTAATTTTTTTTTTTACTAGTACTGCTAATCCAATTTTATTTATATTTTTTACAGGACCAATATTTTAATTTACATCCCAGGGGAATTAATCCAGTTCAATTGAATGATGTCATCTTTACCCTCCATGCTGTGTTGGTCACCATTTTAACCATTTGTCAATGCTTCTTTTACGAGGTGAGTGGTAATTTGACAACCAGTTGTAATTACACTACTGGATTTTGTTAATTATTTGAAGAAAAAAAATAAAAGCATTTAATTTTTCATTTCAGAATGAAATTAGAAATGAAAAGAGAAAATCATAGGGACTCTTGTATATACCATCTGTGTGAAATTTTAAAATGTCTGCAGATATACCGGGTATTCCTAAAAGTATTTGAAAGTTTATGAACAAAATAGAAAATTGTTGAAAAATGTATGGTATTGTAAATAGGCAGTTGTTGGCATTTGATATATTTGATGATTTAGAATTTCTCATCAATCAATACACTTTAAAGGAAAAACCTTTATAGTATTATGTCGCTACCATGTCAACTGACTTTTTTTTTCAAATTTTACCCAGAGAGGAGACCAGCGGGTTTCAAAGATTTGTATCGTGCTGGTGGTCGGTGCCTGGCTGTTTGCTTTGGTCTCACTGATAGTCACCTTAACCCACGTCATCACCTGGCTGACCTACCTGTACTACTTCTCATACATCAAATTGGGTGTCACACTTATCAAATACATACCGCAGGTAAGTGCAGGTGTAAGGAACAATTGCTTGGATGTGTTTTAACCAGATTGTTAAACAGTAATTCAAATACAGGAACCTGAATTCTCAAATGAAAACGTCCAATATTGCTGAATAAATATAGTGTAATTATCATACTGTGGGCTTATAAATAAATAACTACCGGGTACAGTGGATTTTTTTTTTTGTTATTTTTTTTTTTTGGAGTTTTAAGTTTATTTAGTCACAGTAGTTAACAAATATTTGTATAATGAATATATATTTCCCATACAATTTTGTAAAGAATTTCCTGCCATTTTAAATTCTTCTTTTAAATTACCGTTACAGTCATGCTTTCTCATTAGGTGCTTTATATTCTTTTCTAGGCTTACATGAATTTCCGTCGTAAGAGTACAGAGGGTTGGAGTATTGGGAACGTGTTGTTAGATTTTACTGGTGGATCTCTCAGCCTTCTGCAAATGTTCTTGCTGGCTTATAACAGCGGTAGGTAACTCAATAGAATTTTTAGGAGATCTTTTTATTATAGGTCTCTTTAGTGCATAGCTTTCAAACCTGAATGTTGCGACAAATTATTGTGTCGGCTGCAGTATTTAAGTGTGTCTCGTGAACTTAATTATAAACTGTTGAGTCTACATGAAATAAACTATTTCAACAACGTGCATTCATTTTTTTTACATTCATACTTTGATTTGCCTATTGTTACTCATAAATGGTAATGGGCACATCAGTCTTGACAACTTAGGTTTTAATCTGACGTAACATATTTTTTAATACAAATGAAAGGTTCTCATGAGATGTGTCATGTTTCTATCGAGTGCATCTGTCATTATAATAAATATATGGGACCAAATATGTTGCGAAACAATGTACCGTTATGTCTAAAAAAAATGTGTCACAAAAATGGAAAAGTCTGGAAAGCTCTGCTATACAGTCAATTTGGAAATCCTTTTGATGAATTAAAATTTTTAGTTTACTCCGGAGATATGCCTACTAATAATTATTTTCATCACTTAGACAATTCAACAAATATTTTTGGATCTTAACTTTAAAACTTTCAAATGCATACAAATAAATGTGAGCGTTGCACTACAAAGCGCAATTTTGCACTTGCTCCCTTGTTTAGCTACTATTACAGCAGCCAGCTATTTGTTGTAGTCGGAGGATGAAAAGTAGAGCCCACACACTTCTGTGTTCTTGTTTATTTTATTGTTTCATCCAAAATATCAGTAATCCTATTGGTAGGGCTCATGTTTTTTCTCTTTGGAGACTTTGTTTAAAAATAAGTGTAATAAATTTATGAAATGGTAAAATATTGATTATTTTAGTAATGATAGGGACTTTGGCAATTTGTTAATATTTAATTTTCATTTCCAGATAATTTTTTAGTCATTATCTCAGTGCCGTTAAAAGTGTTATGCATTTTGAAAAATCTCATTATGCATATTACTTGTTTAAAATGTCTGGAGTATAGTTTCTTTTCCCTAATGTACAATTTTTAAAGCTTTTAATATATTTTTTAACATTTATTATTTTTTAAATTCAATTTTTATTATTTAAAAAAAAAGTTTTTATCTGTATTTTTGCCCCTTTCAAATTATTTTTAGTCTTTCTAAATTTTTGTTTCCATTTTTCTTTTTTTTTCTGCCAGATGATTGGGGCTCAATTTTTGGCGACCCAACCAAATTTGGCCTTGGAGTTTTCTCCATCTTGTTTGATATTCTGTTTATTGTTCAACATTATTGCTTGTACAAAGGAAAAGATTCATACGAAAGACTTGGGGAAAATCTTGAGTATCGTGTCAACTACAGTGAACTGGGCAGCCAGAGACTTTAGAATTTTGGCTAGTTTAAATTTAAAATTGTCAAATTAACTCTAAGTTTAATTACAATAATATTTATTAACCCATTTTTGTGATTTCAACATTTTTTAACAGTTTAAAAGTATTATTGTTTGCTTAATTGTGAGATGCTATTTTTCTATCCCCTAGATGACTGGGGTTCTATATTCGGTGACCCTACCAAGTTTGGCCTTGGAGCTTTCTCCATCATGTTTGATATTCTCTTTATTGTTCAACATTATTGCTTGTACAGAAGAGCTCAGTCATATGAACGCATTTTGGACAGCAAAACCCCATCTTCCCCATACCTGTCCTACGGCTCTGCTGGTCAGCCAACTGTCAATGATGACCAAGCCAGTCAGTATATTTATTAGCTCTTGGCAATGCAGTGCCTCATAATTTTTGTTCTTATTTTATTTTGTGGCATTCTGAAGTCAGTTCCCCATCTTTTGGCAACAGTGTTTTTAATAACTATAAGAAGTCAAAGAAATAAGTTTGTAAATTTAAAGGAAAACTATTGTAACAAACAAGCCTGTGTTTTTTTAAACATTTGTTCTCTAAGAGGCAACCTTTTTATCTGTAAAAATAAAAACCACTTTATTTTAAATACCTACTGCCATGAATTTTAATACAGTTTTTCCCTTTCCTTTACTGTTTTAAAAATTAACTTGAAACTTTTAACTATATAATAAAAAAAAATTCAGTTCTTCATTTTTTGTCCTATACTCTTTATGTGATGGCTACTGACTTTTCAAAGTGACCTATTTACAGGTGTGTTGGAATTACTGTTGCTTATGAATCTTTATATAATTAATAATTATATATATATATATATATATATATTACTGTATAGTCAAGCATTCAAAGACTTTAATTCCGTACAAATGGGATAATACACATTTTGTGTTTCCCCCTTCCAAAGAAAGCTCTTGTATGCGTTAAGTGAAGTCATTTAAACATTTTAAATAATAATAATCGGTTAACTCATCCACTATTTATATTTTCATGGTCTAAAAATTTTGGTTGGAATATCTCCTTTTGAGAGGAATTTAATTTCATTGTTTATATACGTCTTTTGAAAATGTAGCCTAAGGAATTAGGGATACATTTAAAAAATTAATATAAAAAAATAATTTAATCATTGCAAAACTAGAATATCTATTTAAAAACAAAATACTTTCTTCAATGATTAGCTGTTTTTGTTTTTTTTCTTATTTTTATGTTAACAAGGGAAAAAAAATGAACGAAAGCTTCTTTTTTTTTTACATGAAAATTTTATCAGTTTTTAAATGTATTTTCATTGTGTGTAGATTTAAAAAAAAAAAAACCAAAACATTGTTTTTTTTTTTTTTTTTATTTTTATGTTAACAATGGAAAAAAAATTAACGAAAGCTTCTTTTTTTTTTACATGAAAATTTTATCAGTTTTTAAATGTATTTTCATTGTGTGTAGATTTAAAAAAAAAAAAAGCCAGAACAATCGAGCAGTGTGCCCTGGTACATTAATAATTGAGACACTGTCAAGGAGTTTTTCAATAGAGCTAAACAAATTCTAATATTATTGTTTATATCATTTATTGATCTTGGCCTGTGTCATGAATAATTTAAGCCCAAACCAACTCCGGCACTGAATCCGATTTGGCGGAATAGAGAATGCATTTAAATCATTAAGGTCAATCTCCCAGAAGGAGTGCAAGAATTTCCGTGATGATTTTTGGCTGCTGAGACTGCTGGATTGTGCTTAAAAGTTAAATTGAATTCAGTGGGGTATTTGAAACAATATGTGAGGATTGGTCATAGTCATATTGCTTGATCACTTTTAACTGTGCCCTATTTATCTTGTTGATATTACTAATAATTAGTTCAAATGTCAGTGGTCTTGAAGAACACAACTATCTCTTGTATTTTATGAATGATATTCCACTATGCAGTAGCACAACCATATTCTATTGTTTTAGTCTTTAGTTTTACTTCTTTAGAAGTACACCTCAACTGATATTTGCAAAATTCTTTTTGGGAAAATCGGTGGCAATTATTCCTCCTTTGACTAATACATGTACAGTTAAGGTGCTGGGTGACCGAGTGGTCTACATTGATACAATCCCAAGTTAGTCGACTGGAGGTCGATCCCCCAACAAAAAAGCAGAAATATCACCAGCACCCTGAGCAGTGGGTGGTTGGTTCTCATTAACTTTCGATGGAAACTCATTTAAGAGAAGGCACACTCTGAAATCAAACCCTGAGTTGGAGTCCTGAAGGCTTTATGACAACACAATTAAAATTACGACAACTCCTGTGACGTAGAATGCATAAGAGCACAGTGAAACACAAAAAACACCCTGTTGGTCATCTACTGCATCCTGGTCTATCTTCAGTCATCTAGACTAAGTCTAGCCATTGGAATAAAATAGTGAAGGGCTAGAGAGTGAGGCTGACAAATTGAGCAACTCTCCCTCACTTTAAACAAAATGCAGCTCCAGTCAAGGCTACTACTCTAGTCAAATATTGCCTTGGTCAAAACAGGTACGAAGGACGAACAATAATAATTATAATACAACCAGGGGCCATTATTGGTATTTGAACTTATTTTAACTTCCTGTGATGAAGCACAAAAATGCAAAATGGTTCAAATATGTTTTTATCCACTGTTTTACTTCATTTTACACATTGTTGTAGATCAATTTTTACTCTTTATAAATTATAGCATCTTTCATTTAGTGCCACTACAGATAGAAGCTGTTTGACTTTGTTTTACACCATGTTGTAGAACTCATTATAAATTAAAGCGTCTTTCATTTACTGCCACTACAGACAGAAGCTGTTTGACTTTGTTTTACACCATGTTGTAGAACTCATTATAAATTAAAGCATCTTTCATTTAGTGCCACTACAGACAGAAGCTGTTTGACTTTGTTTTACACCAGGTTGTAGAACTCATTATAAATTAAAGCGTCTTTCATTTAGTGCCACTACAGACAGAAGCTGTTTGACTTTGTTTTACACCATGTTGTAGAACTCATTATAAATTAAAGCGTCTTTCATTTAGTGCCACTACAGATAGAAGCTGTTTGACTTTGTTTTACACCATGTTGTAGAACTCATTATAAATTAAAGCATCTTTCATTTAGTGCCACTACAGACAGAAGCTGTTTGACTTTGTTTTACACCAGGTTGTAGAACTCATTATAAATTAAAGCGTCTTTCATTTAGTGCCACTACAGACAGAAGCTGTTTGACTTTGTTTTACACCATGTTGTAGAACTCATTATAAATTAAAGCGTCTTTCATTTAGTGCCACTACAGATAGAAGCTGTTTGACTTTGTTTTACACCATGTTGTAGAACTCATTATAAATTATAGCATCTTTCATTTAGTGCCACTACAGACAGAAGCTGTTTGACTTTGTTTTACACCATGTTGTACAACTCATTATAAATTATAGCATCTTTCATTTAGTGCCACTACAGATAGAAGCTGTTTGACTTTGTTTTACACCATGTTGTACAACTCATTATAAATTATAGCATCTTTCATTTAGTGCCACTACAGATAGAAGCTGTTTGACTTTGTTTTACACCATGTTGTAGAACTCATTATAAATTATAGCATCTTTCATTTAGTGCCACTACAGACAGAAGCTGTTTGACTTTGTTTTACACCATGTTGTACAACTCATTATAAATTATAGCATCTTTCATTTAGTGCCACTACAGATAGAAGCTGTTTGACTTTGTTTTACACCATGTTGTACAACTCATTATAAATTATAGCATCTTTCATTTAGTGCCACTACAGATAGAAGCTGTTTGACTTTGTTTTACACCATGTTGTAGAACTCATTATAAATTATAGCATCTTTCATTTAGTGCCACTACAGACAGAAGCTGTTTGACTTTGTTTTACACCATGTTGTAGAACTCATTATAAATTATAGCATCTTTCATTTAAGCCACTACAGATAGAAGCTGTTTGACTTTGTTTTACACCATGTTGTAGAACTCATTATAAATTAAACCGTCTTTCATTTAGTGCCACTACAGACAGAAGCTGTTTGACTTTGTTGATTGACTAGATGTTTGGGGCCATCCATAAAGTACGTCACGCTCCAGAGGGGGGCAGGGGGTGTAAGAAAGTGTGACAGTTTGTGACACTGGGGAGGAGGGGGGGGGTTAAAAATGGTAAAAAATAGCGTGACGTACTTTATGGACGGCCCCTTTTCATCCAGGTTTTCTTCACATATATTTGTATTAGTACAGCACAACTATTTCAACTAAATGGATCATTTCACTATTGTTCTGTAAGCCTGTAATTTGTAACACAATCTCACTTTTTACCGCTCTTATCAAATTATACCAATATATTTTTCACAACTTAATCATGCTAAGGTAGATGTCTGGTTCTCACTTGAATTTTAGCCATTTTTAACATTTTGCCACCCCCACCCATCCCACCACATTCCAACTCAAAAAAAAAATAAATAAATAAATTAAAAAAAAAAAATAATTTTAAAAATTTTAAAAATTAATTTGTGTGCATGATTGAATTGCAGATAAATAGTTTCTCACTTACCTGGTGCCATCATTGAAAACCTGTACGTTGTGCTTACACCTAGACACCTACAATAGTGTTTGCAGTGTATTAAGTTGGGGAATATCTGTGTCGACTCAGTTGAAAAGGTTGTGCGATGTTCATGAAAGCATCACAGTTGGATTCTTCGTTGTTTGATTGAGGTGGACACAAAGCTGTCTATGTGAGCGGGGCATACCTTTAACCTAGGTCTTGGTACTCTGACATTACTGCTAGCACTTCTAAAGTGGCAACAAGTGCTAGCTGACTTTGTTCATATTTTTTTCCATATCTTCTATAACTCTGTGCATTCCAAATGTAATTTTGATGTCTAAAAAAATGTTTGTTTTTTGACAGTAATTTTGTGTTTTTGACCGTAGTTTTTATTTTAGAGAGTTAGATCTAGTTTGTATTTTAGAGAGTAAGTTTGTATTCTAGACAGTAAGTTTTTAGACAATATTTTTTTGCATTTTCTTTTTAACGATAATACAATTTGTGCAGGATCTTTTAAAATACCCTTCTTACTTAACTAAATTATTTTTTTATTCTTAATTCATCAGAATTATCTTTTAAAAAGGTGATGTGAAAACAAAACGGGTTGAACACACGGTTGATTTTCGCCCACCTTTGCAATGCTTTATGAATAACCTGGGCAAGGCACCAGGGCCGTGTCGGGGTCTCTTACAGTGTTTTGCCGCCCCACGCGAGTATTGATAAATACCGACTCCCCCCCCCCCCCACCTTTTTACTACCATCAACCCCCCCACCCCGCCTTCTAGACTAGAAGAATTCATGCATTAGAAGAAAATAATTTGTATTCAACATTAAACAATAATTTTAATTTTTCCTGTATTTCATTTCCTCCCCCCCCCCTCTTCCCAATACTAATTTGCTCACTAATTGCGGCTTAATTTCAAATTAAACAATTTTCCGCCCCAGAAGGCCACCTCGTCTTGCCTAGTGCTAGAAACGGCCCCAGAATGCACTAAAACGGGTGACATTGTAACATAACAAAATAGAAAGAAATTCAAAATACCAGTAAACTTCTTACTGAAATGTGTTCCAGTCCCACCAAGACA